GGCCCTATTTATCTTACAGGAGAGCGCGCCACAACCACCTATGAGATGTACTTCGCGCAAGAGAAAAAGGAAATCAATGACAACGATACAGCACAACGTAGCGGTAAAGAGAAAGGAAAAGTGAGCGAGGCAACCAAACAAGTACTATGATAGAGTTCCCGAGGAAACTCTACTCTGGTCAACAGTGTAATGAGCTCAACTAGCGGTGAACTTATATCAAAAAACATCCTGTCGTAGTCGATGACATGACCGATGCATATTTGGAAGTCGTATTACAACAGATACGGATAGACACAGATAGAGTGATCGGTCATGATCGCGGTGCCCGAAGACCACCTAATAGTGTCCATCGCTAACCTTACCCTGCTAGTGACTCGGCGTGCCTCGAAAGGTAGTTATGAACAACCTGATGGCTCTTTTCTGCTTTATGTAGCTAGAGCTGGGTGAGTGGTGGTGTAGTACTCGGCCAGGTTGAGGCGGTATAGTCTACGGGAATGCGATACTCACCCCACATGTTCATTTTAGGAGGCGGCACTCGAGCACAGTGCTCATACGGTCAAGATGAAGTCGCTCACCCCCAAAGTAGTATCCGTTGTTGGGTCAATGGGGGTTGGGGAGTATAGTCAGAGTCTATCAAGTTATACAAGAGCCGTGATTGAAGGAGCGAACTGCGATTCAGCGAACTCCAGTATTGCCAGAACGACTCCTACCCCGTCTGTCCTTTAACAATGCCCTAACAAATTCTAGAATAGGGGACTCATTGATTCAGCGGTGAAGAAACATTGTGTGAGCCTAGTGTGAACACAATGGGTTGATTCACGGGCATACCGAGACAGTATCTCATTCATAGCTTTATGTTACTTCCTATTGACACCCGACGATCGTTGCCGGTTGGGAGGATGGCAATGTTGTGGGATATTGTATAATTCGTGCCATCCGAAACCTACGATAGGCTGCAACTTTTCAATTGATCATATCTCACCATTAAGACGTTCAGTCACGCGAAAAAAAAACCTCGGTGAAATATATAGGGTAAACGTAGGAACACAGGTATATTCACTTCTATTCAGGAGAAACAAAGAGACTAACAAAAAGAGCGAGCGGAGATAATCGTAATGATCAAAGAAACACATATGGGTATGAGAATAATGAACGGAAGAGACAGGCAGACTGCATGATCCATTATAGAGTGAAAGTCGGCGAAAAACTCATGCAGGTACGAAAGAGATAAACACTCAAGACATCAGGAGACAAATGAGGTCCTTCACACCCCCTAAACCTTAAACACTACTAAAATGAATCCAGCATAGATAACCAAGGTCCGATCCCAACCGTTTCACCTCTAAACATACTGTGTTTGCACTACACATGTCGACGGCCGATGTAAGTTTTCCGAACACTGAAGAATAGGGATTAGGACACCGAAGCGACAGGCCCAGCCATTGTATGTTCCAACAACCTCTAAATTGTCCTCTTTAGTATTATCAAAAATCTGGAGGTTTTTTTAAAAAAAATTAATGTTTTAACATGGCCGAGGCGTATAATCATTTTAAAAATTTAATGGTAATACCCCGTTTGAGATTTTGGGTGGCACGAATCATAAGACATGGGTGAAATATTTAGTAAGATTAAAATTTTCCTTCCTCCCTAACATTTAGGCTCCCATCTGCTTTTCCCTCGAATCGAGTCAGTGGAGGAGTACTGTACTAGCTATCTAACTGATACTGCAATAGCTTTCTTTGAGAGCTTACTGTTCATTAACAAAATCAACCGCGCATGGGTGAGGAGGAAAAGGTTTGGGTGTGACAACGGCCCCCCCCGTCACCAACATCACTGTGGTACCTCTAAATATGTTAATACGACCTTTACGGACATTTTTCAGGGGCTTGGGGTGGTACGATCTTCAAGACAGAGAATTCAGCCTTTCGCAAGTAGACTATGAGGTATTGCTATGATATACTCCATTCCCCCGAAATTGTGCTTTCCCCTTCGTTTCACACAGACAAGGGGAATATCGTTTGCCTCGTATCTCGAAAACTTGGAGGGTGACTTCCAATTGTGGATCTTGCGACTCGCAACTAGATATTAATAGATTTTCTAGTCTGGAAATTAGAGATAGCTGAGAGGGCTCTGGTGATGGTATGGTAATCCCAGTGGTGGAGAGTTGTGGTATTAGGGGTACTCAAGGACACGGATGTATGTGGAAGTGTGAGGGTTCTTGTTATGTTGTATCTGAATGTACATAGCTCTAAGTGTATGTGTACCGCAGATTGGTATGTCCGCAATTGTGTGTGTATATATATAGAGTTCCATCTCCACTCCTAGAACGATAAGCATCCCTCGACTTCTCCAACCATCATCACACCTCCGTGCTCCACTCCATGTCCCTGTCCGTGTCCATCATCACCTCCATCACGAACGAGCAATTCCTTCGTCTCCATCACTTGGCCCAATTGTATGAATACGATGAGAATATTGGATTTTCAAATAGAAGTAAACTTGTGAAACTATGTAAATTTGTAAATACAACCCTCCTTCCTGCATTTTGGTAGCTAGTTCGTTGCCGAAATTTTAAAGACATGCCTTACCCGTCATTGCAGATCATGCGCCCAAAACGGTTAATCAAAATCCGGAATAGCCCGTTTCATCCTGCCGGTACTGTACATTGCAGAAAGTAAATTACAGGAGACATTTTGGTACTGTGCCCGGGCATAGTACGAACCAGGGTGGAGGAGGAGGGCTAACTGCTGCAAGATATCGGAACCGTCCTTCTCGCCCACGGAGTGGGGAACACCCGACCTCTGCCTTCAGCCGAGATAAAACAAAAGCAGTACTCGTATGCACTGTGCCTGATTATATTTACAGGAGAGACAACTGCAGCGTCCAACATGTCTTCCTTCTGTTTTGGTTTTTGCCGTGGTGTTGGGCGGGCCGTGGACGGGTCAAATGTAACACAGATCAATTTGCAGAATACTTGTACCACCAGTTGTAGTCAACCTTGCACCTTCCCTACGCTGAGATAGAATCTACGCTAGAACTAGCGAACAATACTCCAATCACCAAGTATACGGGGATAATTGCCATGAGGGCGGCCCGCAAGAATATACCACCTTTGGAGCTGGTTAGGATCACATGGAAGCTCGTTTGCCGATCGGTAGGGCTACCAGGTCTGATCACCCGTTCTCCAACGCCAATTCCGGACTCCTCCCCCCTTGACAATAGTCTCTATACACCCAGTGGTTAGGCATTGGAAAACTACCAGGTACCATGAATAATTCCAAGAGTTCCCCCCATTTTCCCGATATCGCCTGTGCCTCTATCCCAATCATTACGGGCCCAAAATATATTTGATGGTTCCAAGAATGTTAGTATTCTCCCGGAAAATTCCCTGTTATTTTTTTTCTCTTTCGCTTTTTTCTTTCTTTCATGATTCTGTGCCCGTTTAGGAGGAGCAGAAGGGAACATGCTTCTCAAATGTCAATATTTCCCGATGGGTGGTGAGCCCTGCGTTTCTCGAGTTCTCATGTTCTGTCTGCTCCAAGTGCTGCCGATTTGGAGTTATTGTGCAAGTGATATCTCATGACACCACAACTGCATGATGCGCAGACTTGCGGATAGGGTGACTAGCACGCGAGGGTAGTGAGAATGTGAATGCGTGTGTTTTTCGTTTAGTACCACAATTTATCTCCTCTAGGGAGAGAATCGGTGGTCCTCGCTACCCTATCAGGCTCAGCACCCTATCAACTTATTTACTATATCTAATATATCTTTCACCGACAGAAGTTGTCATAGAGTATCACTCGTACAATAGTTCCAATTTGAATAAGATTGTTCGCCCTACTGGGCAGGCAAGACAAGGAGGAATAGGAAATGTAGGTCTCACCACACCATTGCTCCCCATTCTTAATTATGGTTTTCGGGGGTGACAATACCCCTATCACCGACTCTACTCATACCTGGCAGTCCGTTTAGGCCGTAAAACCCCCTCATTCGGTCACGCTCAACACCTACAGGCCCATGCGGTGAGCACAAAGCGTCGCACAAAAGGTACCTTAGCTCCATATAAAATACTAGATATAGTCCTGAGCCAAGAACAGGGGTGATCGAGCCCGCTCCCCCCGCTAATTGCGCCGGACCCCCACAGGATTATCTCTACGCACCTCATTCCTTACTCACTCCCAATACTTTCGTCATTCTCCCCCTCGCGATCCCAAAGCCCCAAAGTTACCGTATTAGAGCCCGGTTTGCGGTGGGGTGAGCTGGCCCCACCCCAGTTAAAACGCCAATCTTCTACCGCATCCTAATATCTGCAAGCTTGCCGATTGGCCCTATCTGGGCCGCCCACCTGCTTTATCACACTAACCTGCACGACCCCCCCACCCACTCCTAGCATATCTGCCGGTTACTAAAATGTGACACCTAACTAAGATCTATGGAAGCCTTTCTACACCCCCATGGCACCGCCCGCCCGCGCCCCAAACACCCGGCGAGGGTTTGAGCCCCAGATGGCTCAACCGGAGCAGAAGAACACACCGCCGCAATTCATCCACCAACCAATTCACACACTCTTTCCATTGTAACATCTAGTTAGCCTCATCTTTCCTCTTCTTGGTTACAATGTTTGGGCACGCTACCCCTATTTCCATGTAACCCAGTCTCCTTTCTCCCCTTTTCACCCGTTCGTGCGAAGTTATAAACGGGGATATACATTGCGTTTGTAATTTTGGGAATTGGTGTGAATCATCACCTAGCCTCGGGGGCGCCGTGTAAGGAGAGTAGATGGGGCTTCCTTCTCTTTTCCTTCCCAAATCCATGGCACGCCATCCCTGTCTATACATGGCTTTAATGTGGTTTCAGTGTCCCAGTCGCGCATGCCAAGAATCCTCGTATAGTACCGTACAATATAGAAGTTAGTGCAGCTTGCTCACGCATAAATATCCCTTTTCTGACGCAGTCTGACCTCGTGCGTGGAGCATGAGCCCGCGTTCAGCCTTCCTACACCTGCCCGAACGTACATGCTTCTACTTGCCGGTTCCGAATGTAGCCGGAAATCTACTTTTATTAAGCCTAAACCGTTCTAAGATTTGCCGAGCCTTTTGGGATTTGTGAGTACCGTATTCCCGGACCCAGATGGAGAACCCCTGCTGGCAATCAAAATTACCAACGGGATGGGGTATATAAGGCGCCGCCAATCTTCTCTCGAAGGTCAAAGTGTACATCATTCGCCCCTACTACTACTCAAGGACATTCATTCACCAACAGGAACAAAATGCTTGCTTATTTTCTGTTTGCCATAATGGCGGCTGTGGGTGTTCTGGCGAGGAGCGAGTTTCCGATGGAGTTGGAGCCAGCACTTACTTTGCGGGTATGGTCCTGTATTTTTGTTCCGGGACAGTGCTGTGATGGTTAGAGCGCGAGGCTAACACAGGTGTAGCTTGGACTTGAATTGCCGCTTTCGACCGGCCGAGCTATCCAAGGGTACGATCTTAGCTACACTGTATGCCCTGACCTATTATATCACTCTTTGGGTGGAGATTGACAGATCTGCTAGGACTGCCCTAACGGCACGATCTTCAGCGCCCCAGGAGCGAATGTCACCGTAAATGCCACTATCATACACGCGGATGCCGTGGTCCGCATTGACCCCGACGGTGGAAAATTCAGACTCAACGTCCATGGTGTCGCAAGGTACGCATCCCCTCCCCCAAAAAACGTTATCCCCAGAGCAAGCACAAGTACTGTTGTTAACCAACCAACTGACGCCACACAGAACCACCAACGGAACCGTAAGTCGGCTCAACCAATTAACCCTAACCCTACTTGCCCTAACTTATATTTAGATTTTCCAACTCACCTACACCGCTATCAACACCCCCGTTGAAGAGTTTAGAAAGGTCCTAGCGCGCGCCCCGGATGCTAAGGATACCGAGTTTGGTGATATGTTTTCTCAACATTCTTTTGAGGTTCCGGTGAGTGGCTATCTTGATTTTAGGGGTGCTGGTGTCGAGCTAATGGAATCTTGAATCTTAGATTTCGGCCCCGGAATTGGCGCCGCTGAACAGCAACATATACGTGGGCGTGGGTAGGCTCCTTATTGACAAGGATCGGGTTGTCACTGCGGAGTATGCTATTAGCAGGGTTATTCTTGAGGAATGAGCATGGCGGAGTATGAGTTGGAGATGGGCGGAGAGGGAGAGTGCGAGGTGAGGGGGGCTGTTCCGGATATTGGGTAATTGGGTATCGAGTAATCGAGTAATTGAATAACTGAGTAATTGAGTTGAATTTAAAGGGGGATATGTTGTAATTTTGTGGTAATGGAATGCTAGCACTCGGGTGTAAGGGTTTTTGGGGCCCTGTAACATAAGTCCCTCCCTGCGGGTTTCACTTAATATCATAATTTATCCTAGCTAAACTTCTCCTTTCGGAAAGATCTAACCTTTTACCATCACCAAGAAATACTCACCAGTCATCACTCGAACTTCCTAATCTGGTTCAGTCTGCATAAAAATAGCACAGCTCTTGATGGAGGTGGGTCCGAATTTTTTCAGCCCCCTAATACTGTGCGATATATAGGATGGTGGAGATGCTAATCAGGCGGATATAGATGATCATATCGTATTCGAGTACCTTCGTGTCCAAAGCTATTCCTTAGAGAAATCTTTACCTAAGCCTAGTGGAGTATGTCCTACATTTCAAGTATCACACGATACCTCCTGATGAAATGTCAATAGAACCGGAAACGTACCACTTTGAACCATGCAAGCGCAACCTGCGCTTCCCCCACTCACCCCCCGGCTCTCAGCATAAATACCAACCCCTGTCCAACCCCACCGCACATCCACCTCATAGCCCACATTCCTACCCTAGTACAAACGTCGGTCCCACCTTCTACGCGGTTGCACACGAAGCAATATGAGAACCGCAACCGAAACTACCCACCCCACCATACAGTAAAAGTTCACCAAACTCGCCATGCGGCCAAGGCCGATATTAGTGTGACGCATGGGAAAGGACAACAATCCCTGATAACCACTATATACTCGTCGGAGTTTTTTTAAAAAAGAACTGCTATTGTATACCGCCCGGATCCGAGCCAATTTTTGGTGGTATGCAATAGCGGTCTTTTTTAAAACGCTCCTACATTGAGAGTAGTACCAGTACTCCTGTAAAATTAATGCAAAAAAACTAAAATTAAAACATCGAGAAGATGATATTCCGATAGCGATGGGCACGGGCATGGTCGAGTGGGTTACGGGGGTTCCGCTCAATCATGATCGAGTATGGTCAATTGTGCCCAAGTCTGGTCGATTATGATCGGTTTTTCTCGAGTAGAATTGCGTTCGTATGATATGTCAAGATATTTCGGGGCGTAAGGGCCCAAACTACGACGGCAATGACAGCAGTAAACTGCATGCCATCCGGAACGACCATTCGCAGTCTCGCGGATGATCAAGTGTTCCCCGCATGGCTAGCTGCTGAATAGAGGTTTACCTTTTCCTCTATTGGTCCTACCGTTAGACAACTCCCCTATCTACAGTTATGAAACCTATTATTGTCAACATTTCATCTACTGTAATGGTTCCTATGCGTGATCCATACCCCACCGCCCACTGAAATTATCACGGAAATATGTGACTGAACAGGAGTCATTGGCACTATTCCGCTCGCTTGCGGTGTCCGATACCATTTCTCCCACTTGCTAGAGGATGGGGGATGATGAAAATGAGGACATTTTGATAAAGTAAATTTCGAAGCGAACAAAGAGTGTCAAAGAATTAACAGTAGAGTGTCCTGTTGAGAATAAGTTAAAGGTGTGCGGGGTAGAGAGTGTTTATATTAATAGATATCACATGATTACCATGGCAGATAGGTACAGATAGAGTGATCGACCATGATCCGGAGTAGTCGGGTGCTATCAAGCAATACCCCTGATCGAGCAAAGCGATGAGATCTGGTGGATCTTGCTCCGGCTGCCGATGTCGCTCTCGCACAGTAATCCTAAGTGGCCAGTCAGGACTAGGGTCAACACTCCGGCCACTCCGACCATTGTTTTGAAAAGCCTTGGTCAGTCCGGTAGAAATTGTGTGCAGCCGCCCAAACCCGGCTGTGTCCCTGCAATCTGAATACACTTGTGAACAGCATACAACTTTCTACTTTTAACTGCTCGGAATAGGAGAATAGGAGGAATGTACTCCTGGTGCTATAGGTTTCGATTAAAACAAATCCCATGTCATCTACTGGTCAACCACAATGATACCCACAACTACCGTACTCAACCCTTGTTCTGCCCTACCTATACCATTCTTTACACAACTCTCTAACCACCCCGGGTGAATATATATTAACCGAATGATCTTGTTACGAACAATTAGCCCTGTTGAATAATAGAATCTTTCTTATAACGGAATATGAGTGATCACTTGAAAACCTCCTCTCGGAATTGTCCCAGCTCGGCTTTATTTTGAAAATCTGCTCTCCCATAGTCCGGTCCGGCCAACCTTAAAAATCCTAGATCAGTCAAGCTGTACCCAAAGCCGGACGGATTGGCCGCTTGAATTCACCATTCGAGCACGCTCTGATCCAGGGACACCTATGGTTGAGGTAATTGAGCGGATCCTGCTCCAGAGAAATTCCAGAAGATCTGATTGTGCCCACGACTGTACTGCAAGGTCATCTAAAGTACCCTTAGCCAATATGCAAAAGAACATATCAAGGTCCAAAAGCCAAGATCAGTGGCGGGGAGGAGCATCTCGGAAGTGTAGCAGATTCAACAACCAATTTGATCCAAATCATGTGCAAAGAATCTACAAGTACCCAGCTTCCTTTCTGATTATATAGTATCATGTGAATGAGGTTTGAGTCCTGCCTGTACTGGAATACATGTATTGTATCTCCTTAATAAGAAAGGGCGGCTCGCTTCCAAATTCCCTAACAACCATAACTTGGTGGGTTCAAGATATTGACGGGGTTTTAGAAAATACGAAGGGCGGAAGGGATGTAAAGGGAGATGTTGTATGTAGCTGGCCCGAGATGGAAAACATGGGTTCGCATGAGAGGATTTTATGAGAAAGAGAAACAGGCTAGGCTGTGTGGTATGGATGGATTAGGTGGATATAAAAAGCGCAACATTTCAGATAGTATTGTACACTCACCAACGTTGGGGCAATATTATTATTTTGTTTTTTCGTATGGCTGGTCCCGGAGCTTTTTACAAAGACACTAAATTATCCTTCGGTTTATAACATAGAAGGTATGATAGCATACGAGTACAAAAAGGACCCGAGGAGTGCCGCTTACTTATTCTGGGTTGGATCTTCTTTAATTGGTAAAACCCCTAACCTAAACCTTATTTCTTTCTTCAATATAATCCTAATCTCTAGCACTGTAACTGATGGAAGATTACTATGATACCATACTCAGTAATTTGATAAAACACCCTTATCCATTGAATATCTCCCCATACTTAGACTCCGATAGGGATAAAAGCCATTTGGATTGAAAAACAAAAGGTCAATAATATGGTAATATTATTGTATTCTACAGGGCTAACATTACCACTAGTAGCCCCTCAATCATTTTAAAGCAAATGGGGTTCGTTGTTCAATTTAAGCACTCTCGGGACATATCTCGATTCCTGACAACGACAAATCGTGAGCAGCACCCGCACTATAATGTTGGCGACGTCATGGTGCTCGTGATGGTATACAAACAACTCTACCACATGTCATAGGTGATTACGATGCTATAAGGTAGTTGCACTTTATCGAATTTTAGGGACTATAAGGGGATGGGGCTTTCCCTTCAATTTTAGAGGGGGAACGGCAGGAGCGAGGGGAGAAGAGAGCAAGGTATAAACGGTTTTTTTGTGCCCTTGGATCTGGGAAATCCACTCCTACTTGTTAAAGTCAAAAACTCGTCCCCGGGGTATATCTGTTACTCTCTAACCCCCCTTGAACATAGGAGATTTTGTTGATAGCTAATTTCATAAATCCAATATCTCTAGAAACCAGTCTTTAGCAGTGTCAGGAGGTCGCGAGAAGCAAGTGCGGTTTTCACGAGCAAGCTTAATGTGTGGTAGAGCTGTTATTTGTGAGTGGGTAGGGACATGGAGGGGGAGTTAATCTTAGCGTGTTCCGAGTTTTGTGAAATCTGAACTACCACCTCCCCCCTCTCAGTTTAGAGTTGAAGGGTTCAGAGATCTAGGAAGTTGTATACTATTAGTCAACCAAGCTCAATAACGAGGTTCTTGACGCATTTGGGATTGTTTCTCGATATACAAAAAGGTGGACCGATAAGCTACCACGGGATGCAATCCTAGGAAACATCATTCCCTATAACGTACCGTATTGCATGCGGGTGGGTTTCATATGTCTAATTTCATTTTAGCAACCATCATTAGTAATTTGGGAAATTATTTTTTTCCACAGGAATAGTCTCTGATTCAGATTTTTCTAAATTCGTATGGAAGTCCTCCATTGTGTTCAAAAATTTTCTTTAATATCATCATTGGGATCAAGGCTTCCAGAACTCTATCAACCAGTTCGGCGCCTCTACGGAGGAACCCTCTTTCTCCATTGACCCAAACGGAGGTATTCATGAATATCTACCGAAGCGGACAAAAGGACCTCCTGCCAAAAGAATGTATGCGGCTCCTTCTGGGCGAGGAAACAACGGCAGCTGGTCCCAGAGTGCCGGATGGAAACATACCAAAGCGGCTTTCGTTAGTTCTGTATCCCATCTTGATTCCGACCCTTGGGCTGGGGAGCTGGAAGGATTACCATAGTAGCAAAGATGGAACCTTCACACATCGTTTCCGATACCCCTTTCCTAAACTGGCCTACAACGGTGGGCCGCAGGTGGGCCCGGGGTTTCTCACACCGATGTTCGTTACTCCTGCCTTATTGTCTATGGACCTTGTGCTAGTACCGGATCTTTTTGGAAAACTGGAAATGGAGCTAGAATAGCCGAACGAAGAATGGACCGATATGGGAGCGAGATTTCTAGGGACCTTGACGGAGGGGTCTTGAACTTTCTTTCCTCTTGAGTACTCTCACGTGCCTCTCGGCTTCTACAATCAATTCTGATCTTCCAGACTTGTTTTTTTCCCAACACTTTCTCATTCTCTTTTCCTATTGCATTGATCCTAGGACTGCTCTTCAAAAGGTCTTTGATTTCACCGAAGGATGTATTTCCCCGAGACCCTGCTACAGTGTCATAGGACCCGTGACAACCTTGCACACAAGTTAACCAACTTCTGTCTTAAGTCACCACCAGGCCATTTCCGCTATCGCCAACA